CAATCTGAATCAGGCCCTACGCCCCAATTCTGTAATAAAAATATTCGAACGGTATCAAATGTAAACAGAACCATATAAAAGATGCAGGAAAATTTCTATGACTCACTCGTGTATAAGTATTCAAGTGTGTGGCATCCATGCGCAAGTTTTCATCTTGCGTTAGACACGGGCGTTCCAGTGATTCGATATATTCATCCATCCGTGAAGGGCTATAATGCGGCAGTAAATCTTATATTATTGTGATAATAAATATTAATAGCAAGGCCGTCCGAAAAATCCAAGCGTCTATCAATGTCAGTGATTATTAGTTATTAGTGATGTTACTGGGACTGCATGTCTGCTATTCGACGGTTCGCATTTGCGCACTTCTGTTGTCCCTCAGTTAGCGTATCAAAGACCAACCCACTTTTTCTATGAATCCAATTGAAATCCAGAAACACTTATCCGGATTTTTACGCCACAGTCCCTCAAGTTCTCTTATAAATTCTATTTGAATATAATAAATTATGCGTGGATCTGAAAGGCTACCTGCCAAGATGGAATGCCGGCGAAGGTGAGCGTGGCGGACTCACCGACGAAGCCCTTGCGTGCGCATTACCAGCACTTCTGTTATAAACATCTGATCTGTAGCGGCTTTCTCTCTGAAAAAATGATGACAGTTGGTGAAAAGTTTACATGTTTTTCCCTGAGCCCCAATTTCAGTTTTAATATTCGAAATTTCAGGAAGTTCAAAGGACAGTGAGGCGGGGTGATGTCTATTTTTCATCAGCTTTTTGCAATCAAGTCGTAGAGTGGGAAAATAAGAATCGCAAAAAACAAATCCACTTTTTTGGTTAATGAGACTGGGTTCGTGTTGCAGCAAAAAGCTTACCACTTCAGCACAGCATGAGCAGGTAACATGAGCATAATTCTTTATTTGAGTGCACACTTCCAGCACTGCCTTACCACCTGCCTCAACCTGAAATGCTTCTTCCGCTGGACACGCCGAGTTAAACGATTCACAACTTGACACTTTGTTCAACTGCTTTCGTAGTGTAGCTGGCAACATTCTCACTTCCTCTGACTGACGTTGCATCGCCTGGTGGTTAATTATCTGGCATTCTTTACGTCCTCCCGAAGAAATTATCAGTGGTTATCCCGAAGGAGCATTTAACATGGATTTACTCACTTCCAGATGTTACTATTGCGTGTGTTGAGTACCAGCACTTCGTCTCGAACGTTGTCATCACTAGACCAAGATGAGATACTTCAGTCAATGTGTTTTAATTAGACTATTACTTACTTTAATCAACTGCAATTCAAGTTTTGTCTGCTAGCTGCGCAGATGGCAATCTTTTGATCTGTTTCGACTAGTGCTGCAGTACCTGACAGTCAGCTCGCTGGCATTAGTGAAGTATCCTGCGTCGCTTGAATGGATTACCAGTTTGGTGGTTCTAGACTATCAAAAATACAATAATCACAAAAATATAATAAACATCAGAAATAAAATAAACATCTAAAACTGTCAAATTATAAATGAAATGGCAGGGAATTTAACTCAACAACTGTTATGAATCAATCTTCACGCTTTTTATAGAGCACTTAGTTCTCTTTAACGAAA